AGAGAAAGCTATAGGTAGGGTATAGAGAAGGATAGAATGATTGAAATAAAGAGAAAGAGAGAGAGAGAGAGAGAGAGAGAGAGAGAGAAGGAAAACGGTATCGCAGGGTTACGTATTGATCGTCTTTCCCCGATGCATGGGGGTGGCTTCTCGCGGCAACCAACCCCATAACCAACGGGAGCGCCATTACAGTACCATGGATCGCACGGGGTTGATGCGTCGGTGGCGACGTAACTTCTGAGGCCTTGCCAGCGGGGTGGAGCAAGGGGGGGAGAGGGTAGGTAGGGTGGGAGGGAGAGAGGTAGTTACGAATGAATATGAGAGAGAGAGAGATGGATAGATGTATGGAAAGATAGATAGAGATGGATATAGATGGTTAGAAGGTAGGGAGGTAGGTAGATGGGAAAAAAGAGAGAGAGGAGAGGGGGGAGCAGGGGGGTTCGAGGAGGGTGCACGATGAACGTGCACGTCGTAGAGAGAGGCAGCCAAGTTATAGAACATTATACTGACAGAAAGCTCTGTGTGCTCCGTGCCGAAGCTTCCGGGCAAGAGCGCAAGCTCCGTAATACTCTTCTCGTTGTTTACATCCGTCCCACGATACGATACGATACGACACGTACAACCCGCACAAAGAAAAGGCTAGCTAGCGTGTTCTAGGAACACGCGTGGATCGAGAAAAAGAGAGAGAGAGAGAGAGAGAAGAAATAGAAAAAAAAAACGAATATAATTATCAATTTTTCGTTGGTTGTTTGATTCCTCGCTTGTTTGCTTGCTTGCTTCCTTGCTTATCCGGGCTTGCTTTTTTGAATCAAAGTGAAATAAAATTAAAGGGAGGGAAGGAGAGAGAGAGAGGGGAATTATTTTTGTCTCGAGGTCGTTTCTCAAGCAGGAACACACTCGAAAGTACCCCAACAGGCCCATCATCCGTCGACTTGCCCATGGCAAGCGTCTGCATCGTTTAATGGACGCGTGAGTATCCCATTACAGTCACTTATATTGTTATCTCGGTCTATTTTTCATTTATTATATCAGTAATATATTTGTTGTGTGTAATATATTATATTATGATCGTTCGCGTAGTTTACCCGCATTTTTATTCTTTTAAAAATATAATATATATATTCTTCGATGTTCTTTGTGTGTGTTCCTTATTTTCTATCTGTTTTTCATTTCAAAAATTTCCCGGTGCTTAAAAGTGCGCACCCTATCCATTCCGTCCCACCATAACGCGTCGTACGAATTTCTGTCGAACGTAAAATTTCGGATGATTGAGAAATATACGCGATTAGGGTAGAGAAAGATTATGGTTTTATTTTTGTGACAGACCACTACCACCATCATCATCATCATCATCACCATCACCACCACCATTCTCTCCTTCTTTCATCTTACCGTAGCAGCTCTGATCATTTTCCCGCCTTTCTAGAAAATAACGCGCACTATTTACAACAACGCGTATTAGAAATCTATCGATTAAAAGTATTTCTGATTTCTCTTTCCCTCTTATGGCATGCCTAAAGATAAGACAAAGACGAGTTTATCTTCTCACACACTCTCACTCTCTCTTTCTTTTTCGCTTTACTTTTACACTTTCTTCCTATTTTTTCCGTTCTTCCCCCTTTATCGCACGTGTTTCTTTTTTTTTTTTTCTTATTTTTTTCAAAACGATCGAATCGAGCCAATTAGAGAATTCTTGGTTTGGCTTACGATCAACTCTGTTGTTGTTGTTGTTGTTTAACGCTTTTCCTTTTTTGCGTGATCGTTAGAAAAGGAAAGTAAAAAAGATCAAACGAGGAAGGTGAATAATTAATCGATCGGACGAGACGCTCTTGCTTTTTTTTTTTTATATTTTTTTTTCCTCCCTCCCCCCCTTTTTTTCTTCTTCTGCTGCTGCTCTTGCTTTTTGTTTTTTGTGTGTGTGTGTGTATTTTATTCGCTTATTTTGTAACGTTTAGTGGTCAGTGACTTTCCGGGGAAACGATTTCCATGCAAACCCTCCTTATCGATTTTCAAGCTGGTCGCGTGTGTCACACGCATCGTCGTCAGTAGCCATAATAAGCGGCCAATAATATTACGAGCAAGTTCGATCACCTCCCGTTCTAATCGTTTAGAAAAAAAATAGAGAGAGAGAGAGAGAAAGAGAAAGAGGAAACCAGTTTATCGTTGATGAACATTTATCAAACAAACCTTTCACAAATGTCGGAGATTTCAATGATCGAATTAATATTACATATCTTACATTTAAATATTTCACGTGACCATAGAAACACGATATCGATTTAGATAATTAACATAGAAATATGTATATATGTATGCTTAATGGGTTTCTTTTATTCTTCGTAGAAAAAACCTTGAACTTATCACGCAACGGTGTGTTTTGCGCGTCGCGACTTAAAAAGTAAGATTTAGGTCGAGAAAAATATATAAAACTCTGTGTTCCGATCGTTTTATGCTGGTATAAGCACACACACACGCAAACACATATAATATATAGCAAGTGCGTTCACCAAAGCGTGGCATTGAACCGAAATGGAAGTTGGCCATGAACAGGGAAGAAGAAAAAGGGAAGCGTGTCCGGCCTCGTAAATCTTTTTTTTATTTTACCTTCTTCTTTTCTTTTCTTTTTTTCTTGTCCTCTCTTTCTCTTTCCTTTAAACACGACGCACACGTACACGCACAAAAAACCCACATAGAAATATTCTTTTGACATCTTCCCGTAACGCAATAGCGAAAAGAACGGGCACGATCCAACACCGAACTTCAAAGAACAAAGATTCGGTGTTTGAAAGTCCCTTAGGAAAAAAAAGAAAAAGAAAAAGAAGAAGAAGCCGGAACTGGTTCGCTTTCGGTTCTCTTCTTCTTTGTTCGTGCTCACGTCTCAATTCGAGCGAATAACGAATCGGGGGGGGGGGAAGTTTAAGGGGTAAAGAAGAGAAAGAAAAAGAAGGAAAAAAGAAAAAACAGAAACTATAGGTTAGTTAATCTCGTTGGTAAAATAATTGTTGACCAATAATAATATTACATCGTCGTTGATTATGTTAAAAATTTCTTTGAACGATAACAACAAATTAAAATACGTCGAGTGTGTTTTATTAAAATCAACAATTAGAAAATCCTAATAAGATTCGTATGAATGTATTATAATATAGATACAGGTATTCGTTACACCTTTCTACTATCGGTTGTATTACCGATATTCTACAAGCAAGTATAGTCGAGAGAAAGGATTATACCTGGCAACACGAAGGTGTCGCGAATACACCACCACCGATCTCTCACACGCACGCATGTATGCATGCACGCACGCAAGAAGGTACGAGATTATTCGCGCGCGAATCGTCGAACGTGTCGCATCTCTCGCGTTTATGCTCTCTTTCTCTAACATAATTAACGTTATTTCATCGTCATTTAAATGATACTTTCCCCCATTAACTCTAATGGGGAAGGGAGGGAGGAAAGAGAGATATTTTCAATTGGTGTATAATTAACGTTAACAAAACTAAAAAGGAGTAAACGTATATGAATAAAAATTCGAATAAAAGTCGAAAAGTGTGTCGTGAAAGTGAACCACACCTCTCCCTTCCGATGACTATCATTGTATGATTTTTCTTCTTCTCTTTCTTTTTCTTTCTTTTCATCAATCTTTATATTATCTTTCTCTTGATTTATTACTTTCTATCTCTTTTTTTCTATTATTTGTGCGCGGAACAAAAATTCAAATAAATTCGAGGAACGCGATGGAGGTAAGAAGGAAAATGAATATAACCGATACGTGTGTCTGTGTGTGTGTTGTTTCTCTCTGTGATATACAAAGTGCACTACGCGATAGTTAAATGCATAACGTTCGTTTTTGTATTCCCTTTTTCTTTCTTTCTTTTTTTTTTCCTTGTATTTTCCTATTGTTTACCTTTGCAGTTGCATATGTCGGGTACCTCTCTTCTTATATGTGCATTATATAGGAAGAGAAACATAGTTGATAATACGTAAGCATCCATTGTAGATCACGACAATGGACACCCGTCCTTCGTTGAACGATCATCTCCCAGTTGGCAACACAGAAGGTACCGTTGCCATGTAAAAGAAAAAATTCAAAGAACAAAGTTGACGTATTTAAAAACTTAATAGATAAATTACGTATTACATACATAATCGTATGCATTTTCAATTTGATTATTATACATCCTACGATCTTTCCCATTTTTTTTGTTTCGCAATATTTCGAAAAGAAAAAGAAAAAAAAAAAGCATTGATAGAAATATTTTCATTTCGTTTAGAGATATTAATCTCGTCTCTCGAGAGAAGAGAAGGGAAGGGAAGGGGTATTAATCATAGGCGTTGGGTGAAAAACATGAAAATAATTAGTATACACGTCTAGAAATAAAAGGATAATAAAATTGAAAAATCGTGCTTATGCATTCGTATCAAAATTCTTTATCTCATACTTATACGTAATGAGATAATAAAGTGATGGATAGATTAAAACTCGTCAAAATGAAACAAAATAATTAATACACCCGAGAACCGTTGATGATACAATTATAACATTAATAAACTAATTGAGATAGGACGTGTAAAAGAAAAACAACGAAGTGTAGATTATAATTGAATCGTAATTGAATTATCGACACAGAAAAGGAAAAAAAGAGTATTATTTTTGTGTTATTTATTCTTACTCCACCCCTTTCGAATTTGAAGGGAGGAAAAGCGTATTATATATATAACAATAAAATATTTGACATTAAAAAAAAGGAAAGGAGAGCAAAAACAAATGTAACTAACTTGTACTCCCACTACACCATTCAAGGGGTAGCATAATTCTTTATTTTGGTTATGAGAAGCGTCGCTATTTCTCTCTCTCTCTCTCTCTCTGTGAATCTATTTCTGTCTCTGTTACCCTAACTGTCTATAGTATGATGACCGGTCGATGGCGCGAGGGTGGTCGTCGCGACGCCGACGCCGACGTCGCTGGGGGACGCTCACAGGTGGTCGCCACGCAGTCTGGCCGTGTTTCGTGTGCCGACTGCACCACCGACTTGCTGCTACTGCACCAACCACCGCTTCTATTGCTATTTCATACACACACACACACACACCACCACCACCGCGAAGAGTAGAGTAGTTGCCTCCTTTTTCGAGGTCCCCGACCGGATCGATCCGCGACCATACTTCCGGCTTCCGTTTGTTGTGACGCCAAGTGCAATCCTAGGGAGAACCTTTAACCTCTTTACCACCCTTATTTACACGTTTCTTCTTACTCTTTCTTTTACTCTGGATACGCGTACGTCTACCAAGTGTATATTTGTATATGTGTATGTGTGTGTGTGTGTGTTGACTACCAACGTTTTTATACACCCCTCAACCCCACACCCCCTCACACCACGATTCTTTATCTTTCACGTAATTCCACTACGCGCGAACTTCTTCTTCTACTCGTCTCGTTTTTATGAACCTTTTTGTTATTTCTTTTTTTTTTATACATTCCTTAATTTTTTCCCTCTTCACTTGTTCATATCGATTTATTTTGAACGATCTACTAATACTCGGATAGATTAATGTTATTAATAATACATGTGCGCGAGTCTCGTTATGTGATTTTCGATCGGAACGAAAGTGGAACTTCGTCGAGATACGCTCTGGTGAGCTTTTGATAAATTTGTGTGTGTCTATATGTGTGTGTGTGACTATGTGCATTTAAAAACATTATATAATTTATTTCCGATAATTATAATTGATATTTCATTGTGAAAATATCAAACACGTAAAAGAATAGTTAATTTTTCTTTTATACAGAAATAGCAAATTGATCTTTCAACGATCGAAGTTACCTGACCAACATACTCGAGGAGTTCTACCTTATCGTACCATTGGTGGGTAGGCGTTGGTTGTTCGAGAATAACCGTGGAAAATAGTGGATAAGAGAAGTTCTCTTTCATCCCTCTCTCTTTCTCACACACACACACATACTTACACATTTTCTTTTGATATATATTAGTCGGCGAACAACGTCTACGTCCTTACAAGAGTGTAGTTCGGTCGCGTGCGCGCGTGCGCTTTCCAGCAGCTCGTGTAGTAGTAATACGTGTTGCTCCGGTGACATAATGTAACCTACATTCGGTACGAGCATAACGCTTCCTCTTTTAATTAACAATTGTAGAGTACCTTTTGTTGCAATTAAATGAACACACGTTTAATAACGAATATCATTCAGATATTTCTTTTTATTTCTACGTTGATCAAGTTTTTCGTATAAAATTTTAGTGCGCGTCTACGATTGACGATTGTTTTATTCGAACAAACAAATAAATAAATAAATAAAATAATGAAATGAAAATTACCCGCGCGATCGGAGATATTATTAAAAAGAAATTAAATCGAGGATTACTTTTCGAATAGAAAAAAAAAAAAAGAGATCAAAGGACTCAACGACGGGGGTAGGTGGTGATCCTCCTCTTTCGCTGATCGATAAATTACAAAAAAAAAAAAAAGTGATAACTAAAGGGGATTTCTATTAGAAAACGATGTTTGAAAGCTCAGCCGTTCGAAATGGTCTACCGGCGAGGTTATTGATCGCGAGAGTTAGCACACTTTCGAGCTCGCGGCCTTCCCTGAAAATTATAACACGAGATTCCACGTTCCGCGGGAAAATCTATGAAGGTATGTGGACCGCAAAATAATAGTGGAAGTAGGTGGAGGTAAAAATAAACCGAGGATGCAAGCAGATAAATATATTTCACGGTGAAAATTTATCAAAACTTGTCGGGGTGGGGGATGGATAAAACTAGTTGAAAAAGTTTCAGTTCGTTCGTTCGTTCGTTCGAAAATAAAAATGAGAGAGAAAAAGAGAGAGAAAGAAATTCGTTGTTAAACTGATTGTGATATTATACATCGAAGAGTTTGCATCTCGATTTGATCGATCGATGAAAAAAGAAGGAAAAAGTGAGAAAAGGGTACACGTATAGGTATGAAGAATATTGCAATCCAATAACAACAATAATGCATTTATTTTCTCTCTCTCTCTCTCTAGTTTTCTCTTTCTAAAGATTTTGATCGGTGTTTTCCCCCTTTTCACCGCGCGTTCGGAAACGCGAATATTTATTATCTCGCGTGTGTGGCCCTTTTTCGATCGATTCGGTTTTCCTCTCCATTTCGCATTGTTGTCAGCGCCAGAAAAAAGAGAGAGAGAGAGAGAAAAAGAGGGAAAAATAAAGAGAGTGAGTGAAAGGGACGGAGATTAGGGAGGCGAGTGAGATTGAAAAGAAAAAAAAAGTAGTCTGATTCCGCTTCCGATCGAACAAACGAGCCAGCGAATGAGCGAATGAACGAACGAACGAACGTCGCGACGTGGAGATTGAGAAGGAAGAAGAAAAGGTAGAAATAATCCGAATTTGTCGAGTGAGCTCACACGTGCGACTACCGACGACATTGGTTGGTTGATTCCTCGTAGTCATTCGTTCGTGCGCGCGCGTGTGTTCGTGTCATACACGTGAATAGAAAACGAGAAAGAAAAAGGCAACGAAGATAAAAAAAGAAAAAAAATCGCTGGGAGAATAAGAAGAAGAAGAAAAAGGGGAAGAGAAAGGACCAGGTGGATGTGGGGGGGGTGGTAAGAGGAGAAAAGCATCGAAAGCAGAATAAAAAGGATGGGTGAGGGGGAGGGAAGCAAAGTATCAACCTCGTCGTCTGGGTTGGTGGTACATATACGTGAATCCGTGATTAAAGCCGGTGTTGCCGACGAACTCGCGGATTTCTAAATATATAGAAAGGGAGGGCTTGCACGCGAAAGCTTTTCTGAGAGCTTCCAGTGGGTAACGCGCACTGCTTACGGATAGGTCGGTTATTATCTTCCCCCCATTTTCTCTTTTCTTCATTTTAGTTCTAAAGTATCTTCGCCGTGTATCCTTTTTTCTATTTTTTTTTTCTTCTCCTCCCCCTCCCCGCCAACCCCCCGTCATTTATAATCAAAAATAGAAAATATATATTATATGTATACTCTAGTATTTTAAATGGTCAACGATATAGTCAACGTTGTATTGTCAAATCATTAAAGTCAAACTTCGTGGGAGTTACGTTTAGTAAAATTCATGGAAAAAAACGTAAAAATCGGATAAATGGTAAAAAGAAAACGCATTGTTCGTAGAGAAGTGTTTCGAACCCGTATAACAAAAAGAGAGAAAGATTAAAGAGATACTTATAGATTGATTATACAAATTTTGTTGATGAATACATTTTCATCAATGGTTTATTCCCAAATTCGTATAGATATATTCAATTTCGCGCATCCCCATGTTATAATACACAAAAATACTCTTGCCCGCAATTATTATCAAACGATCAAAGATATTTTTCTATAGAGAGTGAATTTTCTCACGGTGCAACCGTAACTTCTCTCTTCCGTGTTGTTTTCTTTCACCGTGGTAGCCTGGGGCCAACCGGAAGATCAAAAACACGTTGATAGAAGAGTACAGTGATGACTAAAGAGGAGAAAGGAAGGAAGGAGGAGGTGGTAATGGTGGTGATGGTGGTGGCCTGTCTGTCTACCTGTCTGTCTGTCTGACTGTCTCTTTTTTACTAGCAAACGAACAACGACAACGTTTAATACATATGATACTTTGTATGAACGAAACGAAGCACGTGACACACGTATTCGAACGTGTGTCGATGGTAGCGCCATGTTTGGCGATCTCAGCTATGGGGAGAGAGTAAACAGCAAACAACCTAGTACGACCACGATGATTCTTCCTTCGGTCTCCAGTACCAAACCGATCGCCTTTCGATCCTTCCTTTTTACCGATCGCTCGTTGCTTCGTTCGTTCTTTCAACTCGATAGATCGATTAATCGATAAATAGATCGTTCCGATCAATCAAATATTATAATCGTCGCGATAAACAAAGTTTCTTTCGTTTCGTTTCTTCCTCTACCTTTTTTTCTACGAATATATATATATATATATGAACAATTTGATCGATTGAGTTTGCAATGCGATGGATTCGGTGACTACTACTAGTACGTAAGATTTTTTTTTCTAATCTAACGATAAGTACTTTTTTATTTTTATTTTTTTATAGATAGAAAATTTCTCCTCGTCACATTTCATTGTTCGAACGATTAATCGATAAAATACATGACAGATGTTTTATATTAGGTTTAATTGTATTTATTATTTGTTGCCGATAGTAAACGCGATTGTTTTTCACCTTACGAAAAGAGATTTTCCTTGATCTTTTGATAAGAACGAAGAAGATTGGTTCACGACCTACTACTACTTACTTACTTACTTACTTACTTACTTCTTCTGATTTTCTATACTTCCCCTTTAGGCTTTTTGTTCACGAGTACAAGTGAATTTGGTCGATCGTAAGATATCAAAAGATACCTAACTCGTAACTCAATCTTGATCGTGTTTGCCGACTTTGACATCTTACACAGAAGTTCCTACTACTCAGGATTGTTCAGAGTAATTTAAGTGGTGCCTTGTGTCCCTGTCCCATCGCCAAAGTAATTTCGAATCGTATTCCGTTTCAAGATAGACGAGGAGGGATCCTATTCCCTCCACCAATCCATCTTTATTTACAACCGATCGAACACGCTGACATCCATTTCGACGATCTTTTCTCTAGCGATCGCAATTTCTCTTTCTAAGAGAATGGATTATGGAAAGTTTTTCTACTTCGCGGACTCTCTAACGATCTATTCAGGATCACGCGATCAAAAATTATAATATATTTATTTCATATATTTATTATTTATTTTTAATATTCAACAACTATACCTATACTTTTTTTAAAAAGTCAAATTATTCTGAACAAAAATTATTCGATGTTGGAAATGTGTGTATTCGTTGTCTGTGGAACCCCTATCCTCCTATTTCAAAGATTATTAATTCGAATTTATTAACGAATTGACAACATTTTTCAGATCGTCAGAGGATTAACGACTCTGAAGAGATGCAACGGTGTCCATATCTCCACGAGATGAAAGAGCGTTTGCTCTCACAACCGACACCGACAGACAGTTTAGACATGGAAAGACTCGACGGTGGTACTCCCGTAAAGGAGGCAAATCTCCATAACGATTATCCTGCACACACAAATCCTGGTGTTATACCTGATCCACCGGAAATGCCTCCGGAATCGTTGATCGGTACCGTTGTCAAGGTATTTTTTTATATATTTTAATAATTAATTATGAACAAACAGATTTTGCTATCAATTAAATGAATATTATCTGATCATGTTATTCGATATTTTTTTTTGTAGCTCAACTCAGATGGTTACGGATCTCACACATCGCCGGCTCACGCGAGGCAACCCTTGGTCCCACAAAATGCAAACAATCAACCCCTTTGCCTCACCCCAACGCACACCGGACCTTCGAATGGCATGTTGCCAAAGAACGCCAAGTGAGTAAAATGACTGTTTTCTACGAATACCTACGAGTAGGTGTATATATATATATATATATATAATACATGGTTTGCGTTGAGGATGATTATTCACGAAGAGAATAAACTATGCACACTGCGAAGAAACGTCGCTTGGTTGAAAGAAATGTCTATAGTAATTCAAAATTTTCTATTCGTATATTTCTTTCAATGTTAACATTTTCAATCGATGGAATATTATTATTACAGATACCAACACGCGTTTGATGCGAGTTTCTTTTCAGTGTACCATCATTCGTGTTCATTATCAATTTACTAGGATCGAAGTTATGGAATGTATTACGAGAGAAGATGATTAAAATGTTTACAAAGAAAGAACATTTTTCGTGCCGTTAACGGACGATAGAGAGGAACGTTCTTTCTTTTTTACCAAGGAGTTATAAACGAGATAGTTGACTGGTATGTGGTCTTAGAAAGATATATTACTTAGCCACGTGGTAGGTAACATGGAAAAATACCTATCGAAATTCAAGAGCATTTTTTATCGCTATCACGAATGGAAAGAAGTTTTCTGGTACACCACCACCCAAGGGATAAAACTGAAAATAGTCCAGTATAACTTCCTTAAGCCAGTCGTGCATTTTACGATCTCAGCGTACAAGTTAAAGCATTCCCCCGTTACGATTTTAGTAACACGCTAATTATAGACTTACGACTTATGTTAGTCTCGAATTTGCTATCCAAAGGGTGTTCCCTATTCTTGCGAGAACTAGTAGATTTTATTTACGACTTTTGCTAACTCCAGATATATATATATAGATTATAATATAGTACGTGAGTATGTTGGATGTACTTTTTAACTCATCATAAAAGTAATTTTTTGGTTGATCAAATACACTGTTATAAGAAAAAAAAAAAATCAAAAGATTAGTTTGGTGCTCAAAATTTGTCAACCTACTCTCGTATATATTATATAATATTCATCTATTATAAAATAATATAATATAATCTATGAGATAAATACACTAATCTAACAATTAATTATTCAATACAAAACATATATATATATATATATATGGAAAAGTTTGCGAATTTGAATAATTCATAATTTTCTTATAGAATCTCGTAGGATTCGATTGATCATAGGATAAAACCCAAGTATCTATAAATACTATATCGTGTATAGTATTACATAAATAGAGTACGATTTCACGCGCGATAGTAATAGAAGTCGAATGGTGTCGTTATCGAGATCATCGGACGTGTTCTAATACTGCAAGGACGATCTCCAACTTGGATTTATTAACTGTTTGATCTTCAAGCTCGTGTGTTTGTCCTTAATTAAATACTTGATTTATACACGAAATAAGTCGGTCATAATTATTATTCGTTTGTTGCAATCTTTTACTATTCCCCCCTCTTGTTTTAATTCTTTTTATTTTTTTTTTCTTGGTCAATTAATTACGATTGACGATATCATATATTATGTTATACCGACATACAACCAACCAACCAACCAACCAACAACGATAAACATATCGATTATCGTTCCATGAAAACTTGCTAAGGTCTGTTGCAAAAATCAATTACATCGTCATCTTTAATCTCGACGACGACGACCATGATATCCTCGTATTAAATACTTCCGCCGTTGAAGAGAACAAGAAAAAAAAAAACGAATCTGTGTCAAGTTGTAGAAAAATGTTTCTAAGGACGTTCGAAAGATTCTTTTCGCGCACGTTAAAGCGAAACATGTAATACGATTTTTATCTCTTTTTTTTTTTTCTCTTTTCGTATATCACATTTTTTTTTACATCTTTCTTCCCTCCCCTTCCTCTTTATCCTTTTACGTCTGTCATCCCTTTCCCAGCGCGATATTCGACGAAGGTGTTAAAAAAAAAAAAATGTGTTACCGTTTAAAAGCTAGAACAGTATTTTTTCGAGCAAGGCAACAAAATATGGGTGAAAGAGAAAAAGAGGGAAAGAGAGAGAGAGAGTAGAAAAAAAATAAACAAAACTTTTGTCCATTATCTTTTAGTATAAAATATTCGGATGGGTATTATTTTTTTTTCTTTTGCATATATTTTATTTTATTTTTTCAATGACCTCTCCCCCGATGGGTCCGGGAGCTTAGTTCTAGGGACACGGAATCGTGGCAGCACTGCGACCGACAGTCGAAATCAATACTCGTAGTGCGTGAGCCTTGTCTCTCTCTCTCTCTCTCTTTCTCTTTCGTAATCCTTGAAACGCGATATTACGAGGTATAGAAGAAAAAAAATGTCCATGTACATGGGTACTATACGATAATTTACAATCCACAAACTAGATTACACCACTATGGTAGTACGATTACAGAGGGGTCTGTTACATTATAATTACTCATGACAGTGGTATAAATATATATATACATATATATCCGTCATTGGAGAGGGTTGCACAATACGGAAAAGTTGATAACGAGCTGGATAGAGATAACGACGTGGTCTTTGATTTCCGATTAACAAGCCTGCCACAGGATTTTCATATTGATATTACTTTTCTCTCTTTTCATTTCTTTTTAGTCATCTCCCCTTTTAAAGGTGATACGCTCGGGGGTAGGAAAAAAGTGAGTAACCTTTGACCGGGTAGGACGAGATGCAAGGGGGAAAGTGGGGAAAGGTGGGAAAGGAGCTAAAGGAATCTCTCGTTAAATCGATGTTTGAGGTGTCCTAAGGATATCAAATATCGTCAATATGGGATGGATATATCCGATGATGAAACGATAGCAAATGGAATCGGGTCGAGTTTGGTTGCAGCATGCATTCGCGAACGGGTCGCAACGATAAGAATTTTCTACGAGGGTAAGGTCAGTCACCTCGGTGGCAGGCAGCGTTATCGAGCGGGTCAGTGGGTCGCAGAAGCATGGAACTGTTACCCCCTTTACCTCTTAACGCCCAACACCCACCCACCCATCCACCCCCCACCCCTAGTAACTCTACTCGAATCCACCGCCTCATCCTGATTCCTACTAACGGCAGCACCCTCTTCTCTAACCATTTCGCGAGCAAGAAAAGAAAGAGAGAGAGAGAGAGAGATTTTCCATGATAGGAAGGAGGAATATAACGACTAACTGAATCGACTGGGATTGGGAGTAGTGGGGGGGTTGGGTTGAATGTTGTCGAGTTATCCGAGTTTTTCAAGAAATTCTCACGAGCTAGAAAACTCCTTAATGGAAGAAAGATATAGGGTGAAATCGAAAGAACTTTAGCTCTAACATTTTTTTTCCCTCCCTCCCCGCACCTTTTTCTTTTACACTTTGCTTTACCGAGTTACAATTTTTTATCCCGATCGTTTCTTAAACGATGAATAATATAATCGATCAGTATTACGTCATTGGCTGGTACACGATAATATCGAGAATACGAATTCGTTCTTTATTTCTTCGTGACAATCGATAATATCGAGTAATTATTAAAGAAGTTCCAAGAAAAAAAAAAAAAAAAGAAAGAAAAAAAGGGGGTTAAGATCAAACGTAATGTTCTAATGAATTCTTGAACGGTCTCTCTCGTATCTGGTGCTCGTAACACATTGATGAAAAGAACGAACGAACGAACGAACGAACTAAAGTCTATCTTTATTCTCTCTTATGTTCACGTATTTGCGTTAGTAGGCCGGATACATGTTAGAGAGACGCAACGCAACGCGTAGGTGAACATAGATAAAAAAGAAAAAAGAAAAAAGGGAAAAAGTGTGTACGACGAAAGTTGAAATCTCAATGCGACATTCATCGGGACAAAGAACCTCGGCGTATCTCCGGAGATATTCCAACCGAGCGTGGTTGAAAGAAGAACAAGAACAAGAAGAAGTAGAAGTAGAAGAAAGAAAGAAAGAAAAAAAAAAAAAAAAGAGAGAGAATGAGAATGAGAATGAGAATGGGAAGGAAAGAAAGAACGAAAAAACGAACGAAAGAGAGGAAGATAGAGGAAAAGATAAAGAGGGTGGTGGGTTGGTGGATTTCTCGATGGAGACCAACGGGATCCACCACACGAACCAGGGGTGAGTTGAGTTGAGTTGAGTTGAGGTGAGGTGAGGTGAGGTGAGGTGTCGTCGTCGTAGTCGTAGTCGACTCTCTCTCTCTCTCTCTCTCTCTCTCTCTCTCTTTTTCTCTCTTTTTCTCTTTATACCTAACTATCTATATAGAACGAAAGCTCACTCGTAGCTAGTGCGCTTGTGCAAGAAGCTCAAGTCTGCCCGGGAAGAGACCTCCCGGCTAGCCTCAGTCTCCGGGATGCTGGGGGCGGCGATCGTGATTCTACCCCCATTTCATCGTGTTCTGATAACATAGAGTCTGTCTCACTCGCTCGTTCACTCACTCACATTCTTTCTCTCTCTCTCTCTCTCTCATTCTCTCCCTTTCTTCATCGTTCTATCCTCCCGCATTCGCTTAACTTTATCCCTATCCTATCATTCTCTTCTTCTTCTTCTCACTCTCTCTATCTTTCTCTATTTTCATCCCCTCCGTGTGTATTCTCTACTCTCTCTCTCTCTCTCTCTCTTTCTCTTTCTACTTCGAATTCTGTGCCCCCTTGCGTGCTCTATCCCTTCTCTGTGTCTACGCTTCACACCCTTTTCCTCCGCCGAAGCCTGGGTGCAGTCACCGCGAGTACCTTCAACTAACCACCTCCAGCAGGTGAGCAGCCTTCTTCGTTCACGTCATTCGTATTTCCGTTCGTTCGTTCGTTCGTTCGTTCGTCCAGTCATTCTTTAAACATATTTACGTGACTGAAATTCAGATTGAACAAAAGTATAGTAAAAGAAAGAAAGAAAGAGAGAGAGAGAGTGTGTATGCTTGTGTTCTCGTTGTCATCATCATCGTCATCATCATTGGTATCATCGTCATCGTCATAGTCATCGTCATTGTTGTCATTGTCGTTGTCAATCATTCGAGCGAGATAGAGTGTACTTGATTCTTCTAGGTTGTTGAGAGAGGTTCGGTCGTGCGCACGGGATTTTCCATTAGCTCGTTCGACCAAGTGCGCGGGATCAGAGACACTTTCGTGATGTGTCCTTTCTCTTTCGTTTACCTCTCTCTTTCTCTTTCTCTCTCTCTCTCTCTCTCTTATTTTCCTATAATTTTCCATCTGCCTTTTTTGTCACTAACCCGCTCGTTTAGCCCTCATCATAATCATCATCATCATCATCGTGGTCCGCTGCCAGGCTACCTACAAATCCCTCTTTCTATGCACCCTCCCATAGAGAGAGAGAAAGAGAGAGAGAGAGAGAGACGCGTCCCTGTGTGCGCGAAAGGGTTTGCTCGGGAGTATCTCTCGTACCTTTCAGCCTCTCGCAACGCGTCTCTCTCTCTCTCTCGTCTCTTACCGAATTTTTTCTCTAACCACAAAATTATTTCTTTTCTTTTTCCTATTCCATCTTCCCTCCCCCCCACCTAGCTACCAATCGACCTAAGCAATCTATCCCCTAACCTCTAATAATAATTGTAAGAACGTTCTCTCACTTTCTAAAACGTAATTTTTTGAATCTTCTCTTACGTTCACATTTTTTAATTTTATTTCATATTATTTTATTCGTACAAATTTTCCCTTTCTCATGTATAATTCGATACATTTAAATAATAGTCGAGAGGCGTTCACCAAAATGGCGGCCTAATACTTCCTCTCAATCGTTCGATAATTTTCCTCTACATTTCCCATTCTCTCCTTCATAAATTATACAATAATCCTAATTATTCCCCCCATTACCATTCGATCATTTTCTTTTCAATGATTTTTAAAAACGAACGAAGAAACGCACGAACGGGGTATAATTAAATAAGGATCGTTAGGAACCGCGTGAAAGAGAAGAAGAAGAAGAAGAAGAAGAAGAAGAAGAAGAAGAAGAAAAAATAGTAGAAGAAGAAGAAGGCATTTACGATGGACGGTGGTGGTGGAGACTGTAAAGTCGCCACCGTGGAGGTAGAAGCAGCAGCCGCGGGTGACAACACGGCAACGCTTCCGGTCACGAGGCCTCTAAATCCGCAAAACTCACCCCCTAACGCGCAGGACAACGCGGAGAAGAACAACGCCGCTAATAAAGAAATGGAGCTGAAGAATGTACGATCTACGCCAGCGAAAAAGTAAGGAATATTTTTCCGGAAGAATGATGACAAAAAAAAGATAAATAAAACGGGGCGAATGGGGAGACTGGTAGGTGGGTGGGTGGTTGGGGATTATTTTAGATAAAAATAGGGATATAACACTTACGTTTTAGATCTCGATGATTTAGATCGAACATCGATGACGCGTGTTTAGATCCTTTAGTACGAATTAGTAATAAATAAATAGCTTGACATTAGGCTTTCATTTTTATTTTTTTACAAAATAATAATTTTCTATTCACCATAGTACAAATGCAAAACGCAATTAAATTTAAGTTCCTAGTTGCATTGTTACGCACGAAAAGAAAAAAAAAAAAGAAGAAAAAGGAATACGCGCGGAAAATGGGGGACAAATAATTGGAATGGTTTTTTCTTTTCGAAAAGAAAAAAATATATATATATATATAGCAATATAAAGTGCATCTGTGAACACAACACATGCATGTATATGCTAAAGAATCTTCTGGTTTTATCCGGTGTTTCTATTTATGACGTACTTCGTTAGCTCGTATGGAATGTATGTAGTACTTACATACATCGTTGACGTACAACAGCGGACGTACGTGTACGACATAACGGAGAACGTGGACTAACGCATACATTATACGTGCACGAGAAGGAGTATGCACTCATGCACGTAGAAGGAACCACCCTACCTCGAGGGAAACAACCGACCGAGCGTGACAAAGGAGATAGAGAAAGAGAGAGAGAGAAAGAGAGAGAGAAAGAGAGAGAGAGAGAGAGAGAGAGAAAGAAAGGAAGATGATACCGTAAAGAAGGAAAGTCGTCAGAATCATGAAACGGATTTATTTTGTGAAAAAAAAAAAAATAAAAAATAACTTGGTCTCGGATTTTGAAATGAAAATGTTGAAGCTTTTGATCATTGAAGAGTTTGATCATTCAATATCGTTAAGTGTGATTATCATAATCGTAACTAGAGCATGTTTTTTCTTCTCTCTCTCTCACTCTCTCATTCTTTTTTTTTTTTGTACTTTTCTCAACGACTGTACATAGTAAAGAATTCGTTTGAAATTCCACCGAGTCGGGTTTCTCGGTACATGTAAGGAAAACGAAGCAACGGGTTTCTTTTTCTCTCTATCTCTCTATATATATATATATATATTTTTTTTATTTATTCTCTTTCTCTTTTTCTCTTTAAACGAGAGAATCCGAATGTATTTTATCTCGTCACATATGTAGATCGGAGGCACACAACACCGAGCGTGACACTCGTGTTAAGCATGTACGCTTTCTGTGGCGTAGGAATGGCTTCTCGAATTACTCATAGTCGCAATAGCATTAACGTTGGTTCTCTACCAGCTTTAGCTTTTCTCTCAACTAACTCGTCAGTCTAGACGCGTTCTACGAAACGACGAGTGTGCTGCGGTGTGTCTTTTCGTCCTCCAGTGCAGTCAAATCTCAATCGTCTCCTTTTACATCATCCTATATCTCTGACAACTGTTAACAACGTATATTTTCAACAACGATGCATTGTTGCAAGCGTTCGCATATTTAAGAAAGGAAGGATTTAACAAAACTAAAGAAAGAAAGAAAAGAGAGAAGAGAAGAGAAGGAGGTGGAGAAGAAGGAGGAAGGTACAAGGAGGACTTACGAAGGGTTTGAATTTCGCTTTGGTGATGCTTTCGGATTAAAACGTAGAGAAAAGAAAAAGTCGTTGAAAGAAAAAGGACGAGAGAAATCGTGAGGAGGTCGTTGATATTCAAAGAATTGAAAGAAAGAGTGTGAGAAAGAAAGAGAGAGAGAGAGAGAGAGAGAGAGAGAAAAGGGGTAGAAAATGACGATCGAAGGGTAGAAATTTTGCGAGGGACAAAGATACTGGGCGAGGGTGAGTCGAGAGGACCGGAGGGAGAGAAAGAGAAAGAGAGAGAGAGAGAGAGAGAGAGAGAGGAGCTGAAAGTAGGTACTTCGAAATATCGACCGGTTGCCTGGACCACTCTCTGAGTCCGTACTATACACCACTGTTTCCACTTCCTAGCGTTTTCCTCGTTCACGAGTGGTAAAAAGGCTGTGTACTGATGATGATGTTGCTATTGCTGCTGCTCATCGAAAAATCCGCTGTCTTTTTAAGTTATTTTTTCTTTTTCTTTCTAATGTTTATCTTTTCTTTTCTATTTCAGAGAAATAAATTACACGAAGATATCAAAATTTTCTTACACGTATCGATCATGAATTGTTCTACTTCATATTATTAATTTCTATAACGAATAAGTTAACACACAAAAAAACTGGATAAAGTAATGATGACACTTTTTATAATAGATCAAATGATTTTTACGTAACATTTTAGATTACCGATGAAAGTATAAAAGATATATATATATATATATTTATGTCTTTTTTGTACACATACGACACATCTCGTTAAAATAAAATAAAAAGAAAAGCTCGTGCTGAAGGTTAATGCTTTTATTAATACGTGACACGCCTGTGCACTTTAAAAGAAGTCCTCTCTCTTTCTCTCTCTCTCTCTCTCTCTCTCTATGTCTTCTATATCTATTGCGATAGCCATCGAGTAAAAAGTGTCTGTGTCGAGTGTACGAGCTCGTGCGGAACACAATAAGGTCTGCGCCTCAACCCCTGAAATGCCACGGGGACAAAGGGTGGTTAAGCCCTTCTCTGGTCGAAGATGCACACCATACGACGTCGAGACTTTGCGGCCTTAAGTAGACGCGTCGAAAGTACGTTGCAGTTGTACTTGCGTCGATTATATCGATAAACGGATTTTTAAAAAAAGAGAACAAAAAGGGATTTTCTTGCGAGAGAAGAGGAACAAACAGAAGAAGAAGAAGAAGAAGAAGAAAAAGAACAAAAGAAAAAACTAGAACAAGACAATTAACATATACGAGGATAAAAATTCATTTTTAAAAAACGTGACGAGAAAAAGGAAAAGTAACAGTGAAGTGTCGTACCTTTGTTATCATAGTTTCGTTTCTTTTTAAAAAACGTGGAAACAAAAAAATATTAATCATAAATCATGGAGGTTGAAATTGTTCCTCTTGTGGAAAATAATACGACGGTCAATGGAACGAATTCGGTGCAGACTGTTAACAGTAGAATTCAGATGATCAAGAAAAAACGGTAAAGTAATTTTTGTTCGTCTAGCCATTAACGTAACATTATATAAGATGTTACCAGGTTGTAAACACGGTACCTGTTATGCAATATAAGGCTGCATCTTTCCTTTATTTAGAAAATTCTAATTTTACACCTTAGGTGAGGTGGGGTGTGTGTGTGTTATGCGTCGATCAGAGAAGCTTATACTAGACGCTGAGATTTCTTTTTTTTTTTTCTACTCGTTTTATTTTTTATTCTCTCTTTCATACCCCGCGAGAGTTCGTATACCTAATATCTATAGTTATTTCAAATTATTTCTTAATCACGCGCACGTTTTATGTCCTTTTTATTTTGTGTGTGTATCTAATAATATTTTTTGTTCGTGCTTCAGAACGTCGCTGTTCATCATCATGAGCTTCATCTACGCTAAATTACTGGTCGTTGTGTGTATCGCTTACGTTATAAGCGAAGTTGTAACACACAAATTACCGCTCTACTATTACGAAGGATTTTTCACGTATCTTTATGGTGCGAGCATACTCTTCCTTCTCTACGTATTCTGCTTCCTTCTACAAGAAAGCGCCTGCTGTGCGCGTGGCAGTGATACACCGCCGCCACCACCTAGGCCACAAAAACCACCCAAGGAGCAGAAGGATAAAAAGGATAAAAAGGATAAGGAACAAAAGGCTGCGAAAAACAAGAAAGATTTTCAGGTTAAATAATTTTTTTTTCAACTTTTTTATAAATACGGACACGCGCGAAATTTCAAAAGATCCGCGCCTATCGAATTAATTACTCGTTACTTCTTTTTTTTTCTTCTCTCTTTCTCTCTCTCTCTCTCTCTCTCTCTCTTGTTTTCTCTTTGCGAGGGATAGAAAGAGACAGAAATTGAAAGGGGGAGGAAGTGAGAGAGAGGGATAAAGACTCCTTTTAACGAGCTTGCCTATTTATCTTCGTCCGTATACCAAGAAGAGGAGGAGGCCGTTCTTTTTTTTTTGCTTCCTTCTCTCTTAGTTAGCCGAGAACCTACGTATTTTAATATTCATAAACTCTTTTGTGTTAATGCGAAACGTCTCGCGAGGAGATTTGATATTTATAGCACGAGCCGTTCCATATTCTTTTACCTTTAACAACGATCGTGCTACCTACCTACCTACACGCGTGTATGTATAATAAATTATTTGATTGTTTTGCATTCGTATTTTTAACCATTGGGAGTCATTTATTTGATTATATTTTTAAACGTCAAGAATCATGATGGAACGTGCGATAAAGATTGGAATGTTTTACGGGGAAGTTTTTATCGAGATCGGGCGTAATTGAATTGCACTCCTGCCAAAGAGGGACTCGGCGTTATGTGTGTGTATTTCTTTCTCTCTCTCTCTCTTTTTTTTTCTTTATCCTTTATTCGTATCGTTTTTCATCGGGATAACTCAATCAATCTTATTCTCGAGAGGTATAGCTTTCTGACTTGGGGAAAAAACATTTATCGTAGGATGCAGCAGACGTTGAAGCTGGCGTTGCAACGCGTGCTTTACGTAAACGAAAAACTTCGCAGAATGATCACAGTCATGGAAGCTTTTTCCTACGAATCGGTGCCATAGGTAAAAAAAAAAAAAAAAAAAGAAACAAAAGCATTACGTAGAATATTTTCATATCAATTAATATTTTTGTTAACATTTCACGTGTTAATTAGCATTCGGTTTGGGCACGATGATTTATAACGGATTGGAATTCGGAGCATTTTTCGAAGTACCACCGACCTCGCCCTGTTATCAAATACTTCAGGGTGTTAATCCAGTTCTACAAATGATTTTCACGTTCATGCAGATGTACTTTATCTTCATGAATTCCAGGGTAAGCGACTAAGATATTTATGTTTTGTAATAAAATCGATTTTTTTAATCTGACGATTTCTTTTTTTTCCTTTTTTCAATCAGTTGAACATTCATCGATTCAAAGTAATTGCACGATTCGGTTTGATGCACGTGGTCGCGACGAATCTTTGCGTTTGGATTCGTACATTGGTACTCGAGAGTCTTAAAGAGATAACGCAGTATCATCAACGATTGGGTCAAGAGGAAGCTGGAATTTTAGGTATTTTCCTTAACGTTCGTATCAAATGAAAAATAAAATAACAGATTAATATTGAACCGTCGATCGTTAACGTTTTTCATCGTAGAGAGTATCAAACAACATTCGTTAAGAAACGCTGGAGCAATCTTAGGCATGCAGCCTAGGGACATGGCCCAGTTACGAGAATCCCCGTTGCATTCGTTTGTAAAAACAACGTCGGTAGCTTCGACCTTGATACCGACAACAGCAGAATCCCTAACTCGAGCTATAAGAACTACTGTCAAAGCAATCCCAAGAGTAGCGCATACTTTATCTACAGCAGCTTCTACGGCTTTCATGACATCACCTAGTACAACGCAGAGTACAACCACCACCACTACCACCACTACGTTCTTGCCCAATTTGACGACTACAGCTGCTACAACGTTATCCACTTTGTTGACCACTCTAACTATAAGGAGCACTACTACAGAAAGAACGACTACCCCGAGTACTACGACATCGACTACAACACCGACTACCACCACTACGACTACAACAACGACCACAACCCCAGCTTCCATTTTATCAAACGCTTTCGGTGATTTCTTTGATTCCTTTCAAGCCGATACTAAGGATCAGGTATGTGTTTGATAAATTTGTTACAAAGAAAATATACAACAAAGAAAAAAACCAAAAATTGAACAAATTAGAACAACGTTAATATAAATGATTTCGTTTGATCTCAATATTTAGGTACATGAAGTATTTTACGTGAGCAACGCGACTAACAGCAGTGATTACTGGGGCCAGAATCTTGGCTTTTATGCGGAAGCTTTGACGGAGGATGGTACGATAACAAACTCATGTGGTCGCGTCAACATCATGGGGACTATCGTCCAAGACGCAGCACCCTACTTGTTCCCCTTCATTATCGAGTATAGCCTGATCGGCGCGGCTGTGATATACGTCATGTGGAAACACATCGGTAGACACCCACGTTGGCCTCATCAAGCGGAAGCTGATCTCGAGCGTCGTCTGGAAGTCATGCTCTCGAGAAGGGCGGTCGCCCTAGCTCATGCAGGTAATCGATTATAATTTATTCCAAGCACTCTTTTTCTTCTTCTTCCTTTTTTTTTTTTTACTACTTCTTGCCGAAGAGATAGCCGAGCTCGTAATAACGAGATCGACGTCTCTTACTCGAGCATGCTTTTAAACATGAAAAAAGAAAAAAAAAACAAACACGAATATGTAGGACACGCCAGAGTGGACTGCGTCGGGGCAAGCAAGGGTCTATTCTTTGGTCTGCTGTTACTGGTGGGTTCATTGATCTGTCTGATACTCTTCTTCGTGCTGATACACCACTCGGAGCTTGGACTATTGGCGATTTATCTGGCGGACGTTTCTCATTGCGTACTGATGGCACTCTCGATCGTCGCTATAATCGTCGGTTTCATACGCGTCCAAAGTCTCAAATTCAAGGCAGAAGAACAAAGCGATTTGAACGACATCCTATTACGCGTATCAGCATTCGGATTATTCGTCTATGCCGTATTCAGCGTGATCGCAGGCTCCCTGGCAGCGTTCACTCACGAACCAAATCTTTTGGTTATGGTGACCGGTCTACTATCGGTCTCCCAGGTCGTTCTACAAATGTTATTCATCGCCGATGTATCTCGTAGGCGGGTACATTTACCCGAACACGATCGAAGCAAACCAGGCCGTCAAGTGGTAACTTTCCTTCTCATTTGCAACGTCACAATGTGGGTCATTTATACATTCGAGATGCAAAAGGTCATCGCTAATCCCGTACAACTGGACTTCTATGGATTCCTCGCTTGGGCAATCGTTCAGAGAGTTACCCTACCTCTCTGCATCTTCCACAGGTTCCACAGTGCTGTTACGCTCGCCGAAATTTGGAAGACCAGTTACAAGGCACGACTCGAATAGGACAACGAGAATTATCACCTTGCTGGATTCGTTTTACGATTTCGGTTAGAGAAAGAAGAAAGAGATAGAGCAAGAGAATATCTGGAAATGTATTGGTAAATGGACGGAGGGAAAGAAAGAGAGAGAGAGAGAGAGATAGAGAGAAAGAGAAAGAGAGAGAGGAAGAGAAAGAGAGAAATAACTCTCACTCTTTCTCCCTTTTTCTCTTTTTCAAAACGGGAACGATGGATTATCCTTCGATCGAAATTATCCCTAAACCTATCGAAGCTAAGCTTCAAGATAAGAATGCGTACCTTTGTGACTCGAATTAAGGCTCGTTCCGATTGGAACTCTTACTTTTCTCTTCTTCTTCTTCTTCTTTTTTTTTTTTTTTGTCTATTACTTCTTTGTACTCTCCCTTACTTTGAACGTAGTTCATCTATGGAAGAAGGAACTTCCTCGATCGAGTATGTAACAACGAATATGAAAATATTTCTATTCGAAGACGATTGGAAAGGAAATAACACACATATACACATATACACACACACAAAATAACAAAAGTGTGGATATGGATGGAAAAAGATGGCAAGTTTGAAACGTTCGCATAGATTTTTTAACAATATTTTTGTTCTTTTCTTCCGAAGAGCGAAGGAATATGAAAAAAGGGAACAAAAAATGATTAATAAGATCACGGCGAAAATGAATGCCGAATTGAATATGAAGACAACAATTTAATGAAAATAAATAATTCCCTGTTTAATCGCGTTTCTCACTTTTAACGATCTCTACATACTGCCGCCAAATTTTTCTACTTTTATATATATTATATATGTACCTTCGTCATTCAGCACCAATGCCACTGATACCACCACTACCATTGCCACTACTACTACTACTACTACTACTACTATTAGTACTACTATTATTACCACTACCACCAATCAAAGCCCGTCATGCATCGAGATTATAGAGAAAACATGATAATATAAATATAATATATATAATTATTATACACACACACACACACACACACACACACACAAACAAATATATAACTTTTAATCTCGCGATTTACAATATCGTTCATAATTATCCAGTCAAAATCGAAGCCGCTCTGTGATATGAAAATGACCTCGTTTTAAATATTTTTTTTTTTTATTTCTTTGTATAGGGTATACAAAATTTGATTGTTCAGAGGCGTATTTAATTAAAACACACTCGTTACAAAAATAAATGAATCTTTCGAAAATATTCGAAACGATGCTCGGACTTTGTGAAAATTACGAGGAAAAAGAATCTCATTAGGTGAAATTTGTTGTAAGTAGTTAAGCGGAGAGGTGGGTGGGAGGTAAACACACTCGATGCAGGAATAGGGTCATTTAATGTTGCATTATGTTTGAAAAAATGAATCTTTTTGAGAGAAACAAAGGGCAAAAGAAGAAAGTAAATATAATAAATACGGTCGCAGGATATTTTCAGAGTCGTAAAGAACAATTTTCTTTTTTTTATTGTTAGAGTCGGACGTTTTTACGTAAAAAGCTAATTGCCGGCTAAAAGATTTCTCTTCTTTATTTTTATATTTATAATATTTATTTATTTATTTATTTATTTATTTCTTTTTTTTTTTTTTTGATGTATTCAAGTAATTACGAGAAGGTATTTTCTTAAATGGCTCATAATATAAATACAATGAACAAATAATGCAAGAATAAAGCCAAAAAAAAATAGCTGATGACGATTCGTTGCGTGCCGCGGAGTACAAACGACAAATTATTTTTAAGAATTCGTTTTAGAATCTTTTATCGAAGAGAAAGAGAGAGAGAGAGAGAGAGAGAGAGAGAGAGCTCGAAAAAAAAAGAAGGGAGAGAAAAACTACGAAAGATAATTAAAGAAGAAAAATAAAAGAGAACGAAATAATAATAATAATAATAATAATTATATAATAATAATATAATAATAATAAAGATTTAAAAAAAGAAAAAAGAGGAAAAAAAAAAATTAAGAAATATTTCGACACGCTCACCCTTTTAAAGTGGCTCCATTTTAAACGACACTCGTACTTATTTATAATGCACCTGCATTAGTTGAACGATTCGAGACGTTTTAGACGATCGAATTTAGAGATTTAAAGATTTACGAAAATGGTATAGAGAGAAAGAGAAAGAGAAAGAGAAAGTGGAAAATAAGTTGTTGTCTATCTTTACAAAAAAAAACAAAAATGAAGAAAGATAGAAAAAAAAAAAAGAAGAAAAAAAAGAAATGTAGGGGGTAAAAAATTATGGCAGAAAAAGAGATGGAGAAAATGAAAATAAAAGGAGACGAAAGAAAAACGAAAGGGTAAGACAGTGGAGAGAATATTTTTTTCAATCAAAGCGAATTGACCTGACGAATATATATAGATATATATATATATATATATATCACGCAGCACAGAATATATTTCGCGTGATATAAAAACGAAGAAGTTAAACGATTAACGTTAGACGTGAAATCGTAATAATAAAAAACAAAAGAGAATTTAATGCACGCGTAGGACCCGTTAATGTGCGCGTTGCAACGATTGTAAGTATAATTTTGAGAAAAGAAAAAAAAAGAATAAAAGAAGAAAGAAAGAAGGAAAGAAAGAAAGGGAAAGAAAAAATGACGGAAAAAATGGCAAAGATTAGAAAATATATAAGATCGTGTACACGGGTAGATGTATTCGCAACACATACACTCACCGAACAAATAAAATAGATCATTATTATTGTCTCCATTTGATTAGTATTTAAGCCTGTCACGGCGAGATGTCGACCATTCGCATTTACTATGAATATATCGTACGTAGATCGTTTAAACAGACAAAAACGATATATATATATATATATATATAAAAAAAAAAGAAAAGGGAAAAAACCACCACAAATAACTTGTTTATCGCATAGGAATAATTTCATCGATCCGTCTGAAATAATCCTTGTGAAAAAATGACCACGAACCTCTGACCTTTCCTATTTAACAATTCTTAAACCTTTGACCCCGTCCTATAGAAAAAAAAAAAAAAAAGAAAAAAAAGAACCCAGTTATTCCGCAGTGGAAGTATGTACCTAGCTTACGAGTTCTAAACACATTTGAATTATTATTATTATGATTATTATATTATGATTATTATATTATGATTATTATTATTAGACATATATAGAAAGAAAGTGAGAATGATTGTAATAGCGAATATGAATTATTGTACGTATGTAATAGCGTGAAAGTGAATGAAAAAGAAAGAAAGAGAGAGAGAGAGAGAGAGAAAGAAAAAACGTTATTAGATTCACCCGGTCATCACCATGAAGATGATCGACATTATGGTCGATTATACAGATTTAATTATACATATATAATATACATAAGGCTTGTAATCCGGAATAACATTATATTAATGAAAACAAAAAAAAAGTAATACGATATATTATATATATATATATAATATATATGAATGAAATTAAAAAAGGAGAATTCTAAATCGATATTGTCAATCGATTTTAGCAGCGATGTTTGACCAGCGAGAAACGTGATGATGTGCGATATGTAAATAGTATATCTAATAATGTTCAATAAGTTATCGTTCGTCTTAAAATTAAATTAGTGTATGTGAGAGAAACTCGGATGGGTAGTTGAGTACTCCAGTTTCTTCGTAATTCGTATTTCTCTCAACAACGTTATATCGTATTTCCACAATATGATCTTGTCGATAGTAGGAGGGTGAAATCTTACGAGTGCTTAAGAAGAAATTCGAAACGAGGGAAGGAAGGAAGGAAGGAAGGAAGGAAGAAATTGATGAATGAACGGATTAACCTGGTAAATGAAATGCATACTCCTTGAGCACGTATAATATCTTCCTTACCGTTTTGGCGTTCAAGTAATTCGTCTCGAGTGATATAAAAAACAATAATCGATCGAGTGGAAAAAAAAAAGAAGAAGAACAAAAAATCATAAAATAATAAAGAGAATAAAAATCCCAGAAGAGAATGAAGGATAAAAGAGAAAATAAAATAAAATAAAATATAAAAACGAGATACACAGAATATACAATGCAAAATAATAATAAAGAAAAAAAAAATACTATATTTGCGGCAACGCGTTCACATTTTTGAATTGCACCGCGGATGAATTAAAACGAGGCACTGCCACACCGGACCAACAAAGCCCAAAAATAATTACAAAAAAAAAAAAATAATAAAAAAGAGAAAATAACATACGAAACGAGTGGGAAGAAATGTTTCAAAAATGAACGGAGCTTTTGCGAAAATTAATTCATAAAGGAAAATAATTAAATAAATAAATCAACAAAGCATAAGATGATATATGAAAAGAAAAAGGGGGGTTGACTTTTACTGCACAAAATATGAAAATTCGTTACACCCGTTCGCGAATAATAAATTGCAACGGGATATAGAGGAAAGAGTGAGAGAAAAATAGTAAGAGAGAGAGAGTTAAATGTACGAGCGTGTGAGAAAAAGAGAAAGAGAATAAAAAAAAAAAATGCGCGATTTTCAAGAGCGACTTTTAATTATACAAAATCGCCACGCTCGTGTCTGTCTCTATCTATATGTATGCATGTATGTGTGTGAGTGTGTGTATGCGTGTGTCCGTGAGAAAGAGAAAACCATAAACTCTTGTATATGTACACCATTATCTTGATAGTAGCCGTAAGCCTAAGCAAGGTAGTCGCGGATTTGTGTAATTTCAAACTTTTAACTCAGGAGAGAAAGAAAATGAGAAAGAAAACATAATGAAAGACGATCGTATATATGTTTTTTTTTTTTTCTTTTTATTTTCGTCAAACGGACAATTAACTCATGCTTGACCTGACCTAATTACGAGTACTTCATTGAGCGTTCTATAGAAAGCGCGTAAAAAAAAAACGCTTGCTCGTTATTCGACAGAATTATTTTGTACTACCTGAAGTTATTTTTTATTCTCCTTCTCCTAGTTACGCGTAGTTTACGGATTTTATTAAATACACTAAAATGTAATACACGTATACGCATATGCTTCCATATACATTGTTTATTTCTTTTTCATCGTGAGTATAATTTTTATTACTCTTGTGCACCGAATGATTGTACATACACGTGAGTTTAAAATATAATATATGAATTACCTCCTCTATTGAAACACTTTTAATATATATATATGCAACCATGAACATACACGTACATGTAGATCTATATTATACATTGGATAAATTATCAAAAAATTAAGATATGAATTTAACGATTTAAATTCTTTAGAATATAGTAATACGTTAAAAAATATTTCTCTGAAGTAATTTCAATTGATGAGACCAATTTCTAAATCGAATACCGAGGGGATAAGCGTTTGAATGTTTAACATTCCGCAAAAAGGCTCGTAATTTGAGGTCAGGTCGACAACCTGATGACCGAGATGTCGGCATTTAAAAAACGTTCGTTCTCGTCGCACAGAGTGCGGATTAATTAGGTCGTCTTCGATGAAAGGGCAAAAGGAATCGATTGTACGTGTAATCGTGTGCGAAAGAGAAAACGAAAGAAAGGGAGAGAGAGAGAGAGAAAGAGAGAGAGAGAGAAAGAGAGAGAGAATCGATAACAAATCCGCGATGCATCGTTATTTAACATTACGTAGTGAGTTTTTGATGTCTTCGAATATAATTAACAGTTTGTACACATATACACACACGCGCGCACAAGTGACGTACTCACATGAAATTTACAAGAGACACGATTATATCAAAGATATGTGAAAATAAATAAATAATATAATAATAATAATAATAATAATAATAATAATAATAAAAAAGAATTAATGAGAAAATAATTATACGAACGGAGAAAAAATGAGAAAAAGAGAGAGAGAGGTAGAGAAAGAGAAAAAAAAGAGAAAAAAAAGATAAAAAATGATAATAAGAAAAGGAAAGCGTTAACGTTTAAGGCGAAACGGCGTTAAAATAGCAGGCAATATATGACAAAAAATATTATAAAAATAAAAAATAAGAGAAATAATAAAAAAAGGGAATAAAGAAAAAGAAAAAATAAAAAAAAGAAAAAAAAAAAAAAAGAAAAGAAAGGTAAAAATTATAAATAAATGTTGACGTGTACGCAGTTATTCGATGCCGATTTAATAAGCGAATTAAATGATTGTTGTACATTCTCTCATTCACCAATTTTTCCTCCACGATTTTCTGTAACTTTAGTACCTAAACATGGTCTAAAGGTTGATGATGCGCCGTTTCATTGTAATTCGTTGGGCGGCACACCAGTTGCCGTATCATTTGTAACGATATACGATTATATTGGTTAATAAAAGTTATCTAGATGTATGATCATACGTTTCTCCTATTTCTCAGAACAGAAAAATATACTGCACGTCGCATAAATAAAGAGAGGAAGGTAAGGAAAATTTCATTATTATTATTTATTACCGTTGACTTCAATTTTTTAAAACGATGAAGAAAATAAAAATTACGATATTTAAACGTTTTAGCATAGATTTGTGTGCTCGGTAGAAAAATAATAAATATATTAGGTTGTCCCATAAGTTCTGTCCGCGTCACGCCTATGTATGACTGTAGTACTCATTAAAAAATTCTCGCCGTGATAAATATCATAAATCCGAAAGCAAAATAAAAACTCACCACGATGAATATTTTGCAAGTAAGTCTAAACAATTTTGAAAAGAGGGCATAATGAGGCTTTCTGAGAGATGGAAGAAGGTAATGGAGCAAAATGGTTCATATTTAACACAGTAATTCAACTTTATACAATAAATATCGTCTAATAATTTCGCATTAAAAAAAAAGTAAGGAACTTATGGGACAACCTCTTAGATTATTCGTATTATATATAAAATTGAAATAAATGCATACAAAAAATTTGTCATAAAAGATAAATTTAGTTTATTTACCAATAAATAATATGAAACTTTGAATATTTTCATTATTTTATATCGTGTCTCTATAAATAAAATTAAATACCATTAAAATATTTCTATTCGATAAATATTATAAAACTACTGCGCCTGTGTGTATGCAACAACGGACGAAGGAAAAAGTGAGGAAGTCGAAAGGGTTGCAATGTCTACAGGCGTATCGTAAGATTGGAATTTCAAATAGAAGAAGGTAGTGGAAGAACACTGTGTAGATAGATAACGGTGTTTCCTTTACCAAAGCGAAATAAAAGACGTAGTTAGAGATTGTGAAAAAGAAAGAGACAGAGAAGGAGAGAGAGAAAGAGTTAAAACAAGAGAGAGAAAGAGAAAGAGTTAAATGAAGAGAGAGAAAAGGAGAGAGAAGGAGAGAGAGAGACGGATTATCACGTGCTTGTCGAGCAAGTCCCTCATCGAGAACGACCTTCAGTTCATCGTCAGACGTTCCTCGTGCGAGTAGCATGGTTAAATCGATTTAAACGTGTTTCTTCCATAACCTTAAACTATTCGATATCATTCAATCCTATAACAACGTGTCTCGAATTATGATCACAGGTATGCATCACATTTAATATTTATTTAATATATAATTTTTTAATTGAAATTATTTAATAAGGAGAATTCTTTTAATCGAAAAGTTCAATCATTCGTAGTTATAGTAACTGAGATACATTTTTGATATCATACACCAGATAAAATGTATTGAATGAAATTATTCCATAAGTTTATCTCTAACTTTTTTAATTTTAATGTAATATCGTATCATTTTTTTGTATTCCTTACGATAAGAACATATCTTTATCGAATTCTTAGTTTGATTTCTTCAGAACCGGCATTCGATAAAATTATTATTGGTACGTTCTATGAGATTTTGATTCGCGTTTCGAAGAGCAACGCCCGTATCTGGTAGTATTGATCCTTTAGAAATTTCGTCGGCCCTTCCCAGTCCCTTCACGGTGCGATAGTCATCATATCTTTTGTACAATATATTTCATTCGTTACTAAGTTCATCTTTTTTTTCATTACTTCCTTTTTATATTTTCTAATTTCTATATATATATCGTATTTCTAACTCGTTACTTTAAAAACGAAATTCACGTATAAATATAAAATGAAATATGACGAAGGGTAATCATATAAATTATCTTATCTACGAAAGTTTGTCTTATTAACTTTATCTAGTCAACCTTGCGGAAAAAAAATTACAATTGGATCGAATTGAAATTTGCAAGGAAAAAAAAAAAAAAGAATAAAATCCGTTCGAATTTGGAAATTTATTTCACGAGTAAATGTATTATTTATTTTAAACCGTATTACGCGAAAATAAAATAGCATCTTTACAGTTAATAAAATTACCTTCCTACTCGTAACAATCACTCAAGATATAGTTTTAAACAGATCGGAAACCGGTCGAAAGATTTACCGTAATTTCGTAGTAGAAGAATTTCTTGAAAATCTTATTATGCGTTCCACGGATATAAACAATCGTTTTATTTCTAACTTCCTTCTCTGATCGGATGCACATATTATTCTTAAAGTATTTTTTTTCATTTAACGTTAAATTACCCTACCTTCTCTTTTTTTTTCTCTAACACCCTTCGCATATTTCATTACACTTTCGCGTTGCTGGCCATGCATGCAAAAACGTTAGACCTGGAAGAGGAAACCGTCTAGAAAAGTGGAATGTTTTTGCTCTGTTTCTCGATAATTTCAGTAACGTCGAAAGTTTTTTAAGTACTTTCCTCGAGAGCGTAAAATTCAACGCCCAAATATTTTACACGAAACTCTACGTATTATTTTTTTTTGGTATAAGTATGCGTGAAACGTTAATACAACTCTTACGTGCAAGGATGGTTGGAAATGTAACTCATAGTTAGTTTGCAACATCCGTTTCTTTTCAAATCTTTGTAGAACGATAACTCTAAGTGGATCTAATTTAATATATCTCTAATTATCCTCGTTAGATCATTTTGCATAATATTTGTTTGATGCATTTATATAAAAAAAAAAAAAACCAGCTAACGACTTTTTCTTTTTTTATTTTATTTTTCAGGCAATTAGAGTCGATCAGTCAAGTTTATGATTAGAATCAAATGCATATTATGTCTTCTGACTAATTTTTTAATCTCACGTTTGTTTACAGATAGAACAAGACTCGCCTACGTTACGGCAGCAGCTGTTGGTGCCGGTACAGCAGTTTTCTTTATTTGGTGGTGGTGGTGGAATCATAAAAAGAAATATCAATTACCTACGAAATGGAGGAAAGTCGGTGAACTTAGCGATCTCGTTACATATCCGGTAAAATCATTGGGTCCAATTAGATACACGACGATGGAATGTACTATATTGGGCCTAAAAGTTGGATGGTTACGTGATCGAACATTAATGGTTATTGATATTGATGGGCACTTTGTTACTGCTAGACAAATGCCAAAAATGGTTCAGGTAAAACAATTTTTAAATAATTCTATTCATTTTTTTAATCTACACAAAAAAATATTGAAATAATAAAATTAAAAATTTAAAAAAAAAAAAAAAAGAGAATTCATGAATATTATTTGCAGGTGTCACCGAGCGTTTCGGGTTCAGTTATAACTCTAAATGCTCCGGGCATGATGTCGGTGTCTATAGATCTTGCGCGTATTTGCAAAAAAAGTTTTCGAACAGCAGTATGGGGTCAAGCAGTACCGGCTTGCGATTGTGGAGAAGAAGCAGCCAGATGGTTGTCACGTTTTCTTCTTCAAGAAGACGCCGGTCTTCGTTTGGTTTATTATCCGTTAGATAAACCAGTGAGAGAAATACGAGAAAAGAACAGGATCTTCCCTTTAATTGAGAACGTTGATACCGTGAGTATTAACAAAATCTTTTCACCATTTTTTTTTTTACTTTCCTACAATCAATTGACTTTCCCCTACGTTATCTATGACAACTACGAGAAAATTTAACTGGAACGTGGAATTGCTTTCACGAAATCCGCATACTTTTTCCATCAATAGTACTTTGTCATCTTGAGCTACTTTATTTCTCACGAAATAGAGCGTATCTGTTAATATTATTTTTCTTATACGAACATGGTCGCATACTTCTTCGTCGCAAATTTACTCAACGTATGCTATTTTCTCTGCTATCGAAGAATGCACGGGAAGTAGTATACGAATCGTAGTTATTATTTTTATTATTATTACCGTTATTATTATCCTATTACCGTACTCACCGAATCAATTGAAAATCGCGTTATTCGAATTGTGTGGTTATTGCTTTCATCGAACGCACCAATAATTTTCTTCATATCAAGTATAATTTTTGATTATAGGGAATACTTATATATTATTTATCAAACGTTTCTTCTTTTTTAACAGGGTGCTTTTCCTGATGCTACCAGCTATAATCTAATAAACGAGTCGTCGATAATGGATTTAAATTCGCGATTGGAGGAATCGGTAACTACGTCGAATTTTCGACCAAATTTTGTCGTGAAAGGAGCGAACGTTTACGAAGAAGATACCTGGGATTGGATTAAGATCGGAGACGTTGTTTTTAGAAACGTTAAACCTTGTACTAGATGTATTTTCACTACGGTTGATCCTGAAACCGGTGTAAAAAATCCCAAAGTCGAACCTTTAAAAACTTTGAAGAGGTACACTAATTATTTTTATTTCATAATTGTAGTTTTTGCAATTAAACTGCACATTTGATTATTTTTCTTTACAGTTATAGGCAAATTATGGATCCAGAACTTCGTCCCTATACCGGTGATGCTCCGGTTATGGGAATTCATCTTGCTTTAAGAGGACCAAATGGTACTATACGCTTAGGTGATCCAGTTTACGTAGATGTTCCAAAAGAGGAAGAAACCCCTGTAATATCGCCACCATAGCTACACCGATGGGCCTCCTGCGAGGATGAGATTATTTTTAAAGAAGAAAATGTTCTCGTAGGAGACCATAACTCGTGACGTGATCGGATTGATAAAAATTGACAGAAATAATCATTCGGGTGTACCTCTTCTAACATTAAATTTAATTTAAAAAGAAGAATACAAAGAGAGAGAAGAAACAAAAGAAAAAGAAGAAGTAGAAGATGCAGAAGAAGAAGATATATTAAGAATATTCTTAAGAAGATTTCGTAAGAATTTATATTCGAAATAATATATCGACGTAATAATTGTTGATAACAAGTTACTATAATCAAAGTATACGTAAAAACATACTACCATAAATGAACTATCTGCTAATTAGAAGATAACTCATTTTGTTGTCACCTATCTGATTAGAATCGTAGTAGCAAAATGGGAGCTTCAAATGTTACAATTATAGTCGCGCGATTAGCGAATTATATTTTTGTAAGAATATATGTAAACTTCGGTGGTCCTTATTTTCGGTATTTTTGAATTTATATGCCCAGCTTATACGGTTCGCAATAAAAAAAAAAATATCCCTTACTTCTCAAGTCTGTATCTCAATTTTACCTTTACCGCATAACAATATAAGTTTTACAGCGAAGCAATTGCCGAGAAGGAATTACTCATGTGTTCATCAATAGATAAATGTGTTCATCATAAAGATAAGATGTAAGTAAAAATGAAAACTTACGATGCATTCCAATAGAGTGAAGCTCAATGGCATCATGGTGATGTATCTCGC